GGAGGAGGAGGAGGAGGAGGAGGAACTCCTCCTCCACCCCCCTCCCCCGTCCTACGCATGGCAGCGGCGGTGGGAGAGTTGCCCGTCGCCGCAGGCTCCAGGCGCTGGCCGCGTCGGACATCTTCTTCAGCCAGCGCTTCTGGCGCAGCTTGGCCGAGACGTCGCCCGCGCGCGGCGGGCGGAAGCCGAACTCGGCGCTGTGGACGTCGACCTCGACGGGCCGCCTCCTGCCGTCCTCGATGACCTGGCGGGCGCCGGATCGCAGCAGGAGATCGGGAAAAAACTCTAGGAGAGCTCCAAACGATACACCACCACCAGTCCTGGCCTGGCCTATCGTGGGCCCTGGGCCGGTGTGCAGGCCTGTCTGGCCTAGGCCAGGAGGACTGTACACCGACCCGGGGCCCAGGAAGTGCCTGGCCCAGGCTGGTGGTGGTGTGTGTAGTTGGCGCCCCTCCGAAACTCCTGAGAGGTCTTCGCGAAACCACTCGTAGCGATCGGGGCGGACTGCCGTGGCCATCAAGCCAGAGGACTGGCCCGAACGAAGTACAGGATCAAGCCCGAGCAGGCCGGGCTCAGCGACAGGGACTGGTGTGCCGGTTTCGACCGGGCCCTACTCTGGATGGAGCAATAATCGCCCCCCCCCGGCTCCGCTGGGAGGTTGGGCACGCGCTGTCGGAATGGGCGGAGGGGGGGTTGGAGGAGGAGGAGGAGGAGGCGGAGGAGGAGGAGGAGGAGGACGAGGAGGAGGAGGAGGAGGAAAGGGAGGAGGAGGAGGAAGAGGAAGAGGAGGAGGAGGAGGAGGAGGAGAGGAGGAGGGAGAGGAGGAGGAGGAGGAGGAGGGGGGTGGAGAATGGGCAGGCTCCGCCGGAAGGTGGGTCGCCTGCCCCTCGAGAAATAAGCAGCCCATCCAGAGCATACCAGCGCCGGTGCTGAGCTGGAGCCGCATCCTCAAATAGAGGAGGGGGGGAGCGCGTCGGAGCGCAGGGGCCGAGGGCGAGGAGAGCGGGCCGGGGCGGGCGCGGAGCGGAGGGGCGAGGCACGGCCTGTCGGACGCCGTGGACCCAGCCGAGGAGGAAGGCGCCCTCGTTGACGAGGCCTTCGCGCTCCTGAGGAAAGCACGAGCACACAAACTAGAAGGCACCAACTATACACCACACCGACCGATCCTGGCCAGGATCGGTGTTGGTGTATAGTTGGTGCCCTCCGAGAAACTGCATGAGCTTGCGGAGCTCCGCGCGGATGTTTCTCGGATCTGCGCTGCAAGCCCCCCTCCCTGGCGCGCGGAGCGCGCCAGGCGCGCTGGACTCCCCCCTCCCTGGCGCGCGCGGAACGCGCCAGGAGCGGCGCCGGAAGCGCCGCCGAGGGGCTCAGAGCACCGATCCGAGACGAGACGCCCGCGCGGAGCTCCGAAAGTGTATGCTCATGCACTTTTCCCCTTCCGCGCTCCTTGAAGCGGCGCCCGTAGCCCCAGTCGCCCTGCTGAGGGGCAACGATCGGGGGGGGGCCGGCTCAGGGGAGAAACCTCGACCTGGAATCGACGACAGCTGGCCCATATGAAGGGGCCCTGGGACACACAAAACAATACACACAAATAAAAATATCCCCCATATTTCCTCAGATTACCTAACAGCGAAAACTAATAGGTTTCTAGTGGTGTCAAAAGAGAGCATCTGATGACTCAGAAGGGAAGTCTGGGCGGCATCCGGACAGCGAGGGCCGGGCTCAGGGCCGGGCTCGTTTTAACCAAACACTCGCACACCCCGCGCTCTTCGACCTCCCAGAACTCAATTCCCGGGCCACATGTTGAATGCCCGGAACCAATTGTAAGCCACTTCGTGCTCTTCGACTTCCCAGAACTCCATTCCCGGGCCACATGTTGGATGCCCGGAGCCAACTGTAGGCCACTTCGCGACCTTCCCAGAACTCCATTCCGGGCAACATTTTGGATGCCCGGAGCCAACTGTAGGCCATTTCGTGCTCTTGGACTTCCCAGAACACCACTCCTGGGCCACATTTTGAATGCCCGGAGCCAACTGTAAGCCACTTCGTGCTCTTCCACTTCCCAGAACTCCACTCCCGGGCCACATTTTGAAGGCCCGGAGCCAACTGTATGCCACTTCGTGCTCTTCCACTTCCCAGACTTCCAAGACTCATCATCTTCATCATCATCATCGTCCCCGTAGCCTTCTTGGCTACAGCCCTGCTTTCGAAGATTTCCTTTCAAAGGAACTGCCAGGCGCCTATTGCACACCTTACTGCCAGGACATGCTGATAGTTGTCGGTCTGGCGGCGGTGCTCCTGACCCTGTTGCATTGAACAGCGGTGTTCCTCCGCCTGCGGCAGGGAACTTGGTAGCAGTGTCTCGTTTGGAATCACATCCGTTGATAGCAGTGTCTTGTTTAGACCTCAATGCATTTATACAAAGATCTCATTTGGAGATACCGTTATCGAAAGCAGTGCTTCTACTGCTACTACCTCTGCTCCCAGCACTCCTACTCGTTCACTCCACACGCTACAACTACTACTTCACTGCTACCACTACTACCACCACTACTATTTCTACTGCTACTACTACTGTTACTATTACTGTTGCTGCTGCTGTTGCTGCTGCTAGTGTAGCTAATGTTACTACTGGCAGTGCCACTGCGATTGCCGCTGATGTTGCCACTGCGACTGCCACTGCGAATCCGAATGCGACTGCGAGAACACCAGAATTCTACAACAGCACTCTTACATGAATACCACAGGCAATGTTCCCAGTTATGTTTATACACATCGCTGTTAGGATGTTTTGCCGGGATAATTTTCTATGTTTTTGTGTTCCCCCCACTTCCCATATTACCTAACAACGAAGACTGATAGGTTTATTATGGGGTCAACAGAGAGCATCTGATGACTCCCCAGGGGGGTCTGGGCGGGAGCCGGACAGGCGAGGGCCGGGTTCGTTTTAAACAAACAGTCACACACTTCGTGCTCTTCGACCTCCCAGAGCTCCATTCCCGGGCCACATTTTGAATGCCCGGAGCCAACTGTAAGCCACTTCGTGCTCTTCGACTTCCCAGAACTCCATTCCCGGGCCACATTTTGGATGCCCGGAGCCAACTGTAGGCCACTTCGCGCTCTTCGACTTCCCAGAACACAACTCCCGGGCCACATTTTGACTGCCCGGAGCCAACTGTAGGCCACTTCGTGCTCTTCCACTTCCCAAGTCGACTCTCTTGATAGCAGTGTCTTGTTTAGACCTCAATGCGTTTATACAAAGATCTCATTTGGAGATACCGTTATCGAAAGCAGTGTTTCTACTGCTACTACCACTGCTCCCATCACTCCTACTCGTTCACTCCACACACTACAACTACTACTTCACTGTTACCACTACTACCATCACTACTACTTCTACTGCTGCTACTACTACTACTACTGTTACTATTACTGTTGCTGCTGCTGTTGCTGCTGCTAGTGTAGCTATTGCTACTGCAACCACTGGCAGTGCCACTGCGACTGCCGCTGATGTTGCCACTGCGACTGCCACTGCGAATCCGAATGCGACTGCGAGAACACCAGAATTCTACAACAGCACTCTTACATGAATACCACAGGCAATGTTTCCAGCTATGCTTCTATACATCGCTGTTAGGTTGCTTTGCCGGGATAATTGTCCCATATTTTCAAGGGAATCGACGATTATTTGTGTCTGTGTGCTTTTTCCCTCCTGACCATAGATCGGCGACAGGCCCCGTGTAGCGAACCCGCACGTTGCTGAGCGGGGTGGGCCATCGGGCCCCTCTCGGCGATCAAGGACCAGTGCCAAGCGGCGCTGTCGCCTCGCTGTCGCCCAGGGTATCCCGATCCCTCCCACGTGGGACCCTACACGCTGTGGCCTCGCAGGTGCATGCGCTGGCGGGCCCGGGGAGAGCCAGAAGCAGTCAGGCATCCCGACCCCTGAGACTCTCGCCCTGTAGGCAAGCGTCGTTGGGCGAGTGGGGGGGGGTCGATGCACAACCCCCTGTCGGCGGCGAGCCCAAGAGGGTAAGTGAGGAGGCGCGGGCCTTCTCAGAAGGCCCGTACATCCCCCGGCCGTCTGAGAAGCCTTCGGTAGCCTCCCCCGGAGACGCCGAGAACTCCTCGCAGAGGGCGCGAGAGCTTCTGCGGAGCCCCGCCGCCTTCTGAGAGGGCCTTCTCCTTCTCGTCCTTCCCACCCCCTCGCGCGCCGCCGACCCAGAGGATTGGCCATCGCCAGAGGATTGGCCGTCCCCAGAGGATTGGCAAATCCCCAGAAGACAGGCGAATCCCCAGAGGATTGGCAGTCCACGGTGAAGAGGAGGAGGAGGAGGAGGAGGAGGAGGAGGAGGACAGGCCAACCGAAGAGGAATGGCATTCCCAAGCGGACAGGCCGCAGCTCGGCGCTCCTCGGCGGCCGCTCGGGACGACCGCTCCCGGGGGCGCCCCCCCCGAGACCGCCCCCGTCTCGGCGGGGTTCCCGCGGCGGGAGGGCCTCGCCGCGGGGAGGCCGGGGGACATCCCGGGGGACCTCCTCCTCCTCCTCCTCCTCCCCCTCCTTCCTCCTCCGCCTCTCCTCCTCTCTCCTCCTCTCGTTCTCCTCCTCCCTCCCTCCTCCTCCTCCTCCTCCTCCTCCTCCTCCTCCTCTTCCTCCTCCTCCTCCTCCTCGTCGCCACCGCCCGGAGGATTGCCGGGGGACATCCCGGGGGACATCCCAGGGGACCTGGGACACACAAATGAATGCACACAGATAAAAAGATTCCCCATGTTTTCGTATATTTTCTGGGTTTTTGTCTTCCCGCCCAAGTCCCCTATTTTCCCATATTTTCTTGGGGGACCGGCGATTCATTGTGTCTCTGTGTGTGTGTTTTTTTTCCTCCTGAAGAACGCCTGCGGACCCCGCCCCACGACGCTGCCCCTGTGCGCGGCGCGCCGAGGGGGGGGGGGGGCGGGGAGCGGGGGGAGGAAGGGCCCCTCGGGAGGAGACTGCTGCTCGGAAGGCGCGCGGTCCTCAGATTCTGGAGGGGGAGGCCCGCGCCTTCCGAGGAGCGGGGGGGGGGGGGGGGTTCTGAGAGGCCTCCCCCCCTCTTCCGTACCCCCCCTCTGCGGCTGGAGAGCCCCCCGAGGCTGAAGACCCCCGAGGACCGACGAAAACGCCTGCAGACCTCGCCCCCTAAACCGTGTGTTTCGTCTTCGCGTATGTGCGTTCGCTTTACTTCGTCCTCTCTGCCTTCGCTCCACCCCTTTGCGGCGGAACGAGATCCATACGACATCGCCAGAAGCACCGCTCGGCTCGAGCCCTGCTCGCCCCCAAAAGCTGCCCCCGACCTGCATCGCCAGCAGCTCGAGGAGGTCGCCCTCGCAGGCCGACGCGACGTCGGGCCGCACCTCGCGCGGCAGGGCCTCGGCCGCGGGGTACGAGCCCTGCGCGATGACGAAGCTCCGGCCCGAGGCCGCCGAGAAGGTGCGCTCCTGCGGCCCCGCCGGGGCGGCCTCCGGCGCGGCCGCCTGCCCAGGAGGAGGAGCGAGGGGAGGGGGAGGAGCGAGGGGAGGGAGGAGGAGCGAGGGAGGAAGAGGGGGAGGAGGAGGAGGAGGAGGAGGAGGAGGAGGAGGAGGAGGAGGAGGAGGAAGAAGATGAGGAGGAGGAGGAGGAGGAACGAGGAAGAGACGGAGGAGGAGGAGGAGGGAGGAGGAGGAGGAGGAGGAGGAGGAGGAGGAGGAGGAGGGAGGAGGCGGAGGGCGGGAGGAGGAGGAGGGGGAGAAGGCAGGGGGGGGAGGGAGGAGGACCTGTCCAGCCGCCGCCTTGGGCTTCTTGCCCATGTAACAGTGGCGGGCGGAGGCGCGGCGGCCAGGCGGCGGACACAGGGGGGCGGCACGGCGAGAGAGCCCAAAGGGCTGCAGGAGGCGGAGCGCCGGCCAGGAGGGCCTCGATGCTCGATGCTCGATCGATCCTCGATCCTCGATCCTCGATCCTCGATCCTCGATCCTCGATCGAGCCTCGATCCTCGATCATCGACCTTCGACCCTCGATCCTCGGTCCTCGATCGAGCCTCGATGCACTATCATGGGCGGGGGGGCAGGCATGGCCAGGCGGAGGCGGAGGGGGGGCGGGGCAGGGCAGGGCGGGCGGGGGCGTCTCACCCAGGGCTCCGACGGTCTGAGTCTTGTCAGTCCTCACATGTTTGCAGTTTTTGTTGGCCATCTGGCGACCGCTTTTCGGGCCTCGGGGCCATCGACGACAACGGATCCCGCGTGAAAAGCTGTTGCTGAGGAAGGGGTGGGGACCTCTGCGGCCGCACATTCGAAAAACAATCAACAAAAAAACAAGACTAACAACAACAAAACGAAAAAAAACGTCTGATGTCTGTGTTTGGAGCACCTTGGGCCCTCCGTGGGGGCTGGGGGCCGTCTTGGGGCGATCTCGGGGGCCTCTCGAGCTGTATTCGGCGCTCTTGAAACTGAAGAGGCGGATGTGCGAAAATCATCGAGTCATCGGGCTACCAGAAAGAACGCAAAATAAAGCACGAAGGGACTTTTCTGGTACGGCTAGCCCCGAGACCCAGACCCCTTCCCCGAGACCGGAGTTTCATCCCTGGTCGTGCTTGCATGGTCCTGGGGCCCAGCAAAGGCCCCAGGAGGCCGAGAACTGTCCGAAACCTCCCGCCATGATGTTTCCCCAACGAGGGGAGGTCGGGGAGGAGGGAGAGGAGGAGAGCACTGGCAGGCGCGCGACAACTGAAGAGGGCGCCGACCCCTCCCCCGGTGGAGGCTGGGCGCCACCTTGGCCAGCGACTCGCCCGCTGGCGGGGTGACGGTGGCGACAACGAGGATAGAGC